ATTGGGCAATACATCTTCCTACCAAAAATTATCAAAATTGATTCAATTTTTAGGGTAGCCCCCATATAAGGGTACCCCCCAAATATTCGGAATTTTGAAGGGTTTTGGCACATTATTCAACCAAATTGGCTATAATTTTATATATTTTTGATGATTTTGAGTCGAAAATTTAACTATCAAAAATGATCAGTAACGACCCATTATTTCGGAAAGTATATCCATATAATGGTACACCCACCTTATTCCGTATTTTGGGTGAATTTTTCAATAGGATTTTCTCTAATTTGTTTATTTCAACTTGTAATGGTGCTTCAAATCTTCCCATTAATAAACCAGTAAGGAAAGTAGTAAAGTCGGACGGGGCCGACTATATGATACCCTTCACCACTATGGGTATATTAAACAGGACTATTAGCATGAAATTGGATGAAATAAAATATGTGATATTTATCTAAATGTTAATCTACGTAGATCTATCCATAAAGTATGTAAATCGACTTCAAACAAATATAAATGGGTCATCCGTTGGGCTATGTCTGTACTTCTAGAAAACGCAACTACATAATTCTATGCTCAATTTTGTACGTTGTGCAAAATTTGATGTCAAACTGACTAACATGAGGAGTTTGATGCCCAATTTACTTGAAATCGGGCGAAAATATATATGGAAGCTCTATCCAAATATTAAGCGATTTCAAACAAACTAGTGACAGGATAGGTTATACTAATTTCAGAACGTTTTGTTCCTATTGGTTCTTGGTGCGTCAATTACTTAAAATCAATCTATAATAAAAGGGAGCTATATCTAAATCTGGACCGATTTTCACGAAACAACGCAGACATCACTCTAGGCTCAATTCAGTACGTTATGCCAAATTTTGTGAAAAACGAAAGATATATAGGGACTTTGGTGCAACATTTACATGAAATCGGACGAAACTATATGTGGGAGCTATATAGAAATCTGGACTGATTTTCTCGAAACTTGGCAGACATCATTCTAGACTCAATTCAGTACTTTATGCCAAATTACGTGCAAATCGAAGGATATATAGGGACTTTGGTGCACCATTTACATGAAATCGGACGAAACTATATATGGGAGCTATATGTAAATCTTGACCTATTTTCACGAAACTTGGCAGACATCATTCTGGGCTCAATTAAGTACGTTATGCCACATTTCGTGCAACTCGAAGGATATATAGGGACTTTGGTGCACCATTTACATGTAATCGGACTTAACTATATATGGGAGCTATATCTAAATCTGGACCGATTTTCTCGAAACTTGGCAGACATCATTCTGGGCTCAATTAAGTACGTTATGCCAAATTTCGTGCAAATCGAAGGATATATAGGGACTTTGGTGCACCATTAACATGTAATCTGACGAAGCTATATATGGGAGCTATATCTAAATCTGGACCGATTTTGTCGAAACTTGGCAGACATCATTCTAGCCTCAGTTCAATACGTTATACCAAATTTCGTGGAAATCGAAAGATATATAAGAACATTAGGGCACCATTTACATGAAATCAGACGAAACTATATATGGGAGCTATATCTAAATCTGGACCGATTTTCTCGAAACTTGGCAGACATCATTCTGGGCTCAATTAAGTACGTTATGCCAAATTTCGTGCAAATCGAAGGATATATAGGGGCTTTGGTGCACCATTTACATGTAATCGGACGAAGCTATATATGGGAGCTATATCTAAATCTGGACCGATTTTCACGAAACTTGGCAGACGTCATACTAGGCTCAATTCAGTACGTTATACCAAATTTCGTGCAAATCGAAAGATATATAAGAACATTAGGGCACCATTTACATGAAATCGGACGAAACTATATATGGGAGCTATATCTAAATCTGGACCGATTTTCACGAAAATTGGCAGATATCACTCTAGGCTTAATTCAGTACGTTATGCCAAATTTCGTGCAAATCAAAAGATATATAGGGACTTTGGGGCACCATTTATATGAAATCGGACGAAACTATATATGGGAGCTATATCTAAATCTGGACCGATTTTCACGAAACTAGGCAGACATCATTCTAGGCTCAATTAAGTACGTTATGCCAAATTTCGTGCAAATCGAAGGATATATAGGGACTTTGGGGCACCATTTATATGAAATCGGACGAAACTATATATGGGAGCTATATCTAAATCTGGACCGATTTTCACGAAACTAGGCAGACATCATTCTAGACTCAATTCAGTACGTTATGCCAAAATTCGTGCAAATCGGAAGATATTTAGCGACTTTGGTGGACCATTTACATCAAATCGGACGAAACTATATATGGGAGCTATATCTAAATCTGGACCGATTTTCTACAAACTTGGCAGACATCCCTCTAGGCTTAATTCAGTACGTTATGCCAAATTTCGTGCAAATCAGAAGATATATAGGGACTTTGGGCACTATTTACATGAAATCGGACGAAACTATATATGGGAGCTATATCTAAATCTGGACCGATTTTCACGAAACTTGGCAGACATCATTCTAGACCTAAATGATTAGGCTGTACCAAATTTCGTGCAAATCGAAAGATATATAGGGACTTTGGGGCACCATTTACATGAAATCGGACGAAACTATATATGGGAGCTATATCTAAATCTGGACCGATTTTCTCCAAACTTGGCATACATCACTCAAGGCTTAATTCAGCACGTTATACCAAATTTCGTGCAAATCAAAAGGTATATAGGGACTTTGGGGCACCATTTACATGAAATCGGACGAAACTATATATGGGAGCTATATCTAAATCTGGACCGATTTTCACGAAACTTGGCAGACATCATTCTAGACCTAAATGATTAGGCTGTACCAAATTTCGTGCAAATCGAAAGATATATAGGGACTTTGGGGCACCATTTACATGAAATCGGACGAAACTATATATGGGAGCTATATCTAAATCTGGACCGATTTTCTCCAAACTTGGCATACATCACTCTAGGCTTAATTCAGCACGTTATACCAAATTTCGCGCAAATCAAAAGATATATAGGGACTTTGGGGCACCATTTACATGAAATCGGACGAAACTATATATGGGAGCTATATCTAAATCTGGACCGATTTTCACGAAACTTGGCAGACATCATTCTAGACCTAAATGATTAGGCTGTACCAAATTTCGTGCAAATCGAAAGATATATAGGGACCGTTTACATTAAATCGGTTAAATATATATATGGGAGCTATATCTAAATCTGAACCGATTTTTCCCAATTTCAATAGGGTTCGTCCTTGGGCCGAATAAGTGACCTATGCCAAATTTCATCCAATTCGGATCATAAATGCGACCTGTACTTTGTTTACAATTTAACATGGACAGACGGACAGACGGACGGACGGACGGACGGACGGACATGCATAAATCGACTCAGAAAGTGATTCTATGCATATTCTCAAAAGGAACCATGTGTCTATCTCGTTTCCTTTTGCCTGTTACAAACATATGCACAAAGACATAATACCCTGTACCACAGTGTGGTGAAGGGTATAAAAAATCAATATCATTCCACGTTCTGGTATAGCTCCCATATAACCGTACCGATTCATTTTCGGTATTTTTAAGGCTTTGACTGGATTTCCCCCCACCGACATGGCTGAAATTTGTGACAAAGGGTTCCTCAGGGATTTCATACATATTTATCGAAATTAGGCAATGTAGGTCTCCGATTTAACATAAGATCCCAACCGATTTAAGGAAAGGATTTAAGGAAAACCACCCATTCTCGATTGAAATTTTTCAAGATTTTCAATGGGCTGGGAAATCAATACCAATGCTTGTTAAGGTTTGTAACTTTGCACATATATATTTGAAGATTTAAAAGGGAAGAAAAATAATTTACAAAAAAATGTTGTTATTGTTTTGTTGTTGTTTTTTGTAATTAAAGAAAAGTCCTTATATTTGATGGCGGGCATGATAACTCCTCACTGGATCATCGGAATCCGAAAATTCCAACGGTGTTAGAAAGAGAACATGTCCGGCTCTCGTATGAGCTAGGATTATTGACTTCGCTCTAAAATTAAAAAAATGGTGGACCTTTGAAAAAAATATTTTTGGAAAATCGCCGATTTTTTACCAAAAACCAAGTTAAAAAATAAGAAAGATCTTCACCGATTGGCTTTATCCTAGTTCATACGAGAGCTATACACTCCCAGAGAAACGTTGCAAAATTTGGAACCGATTGGATTATTAGTTTTTGAGTTATCGTGCCGCGCCATTCGCAAAAAAATGTTTAGAGAAAAACGCGTTTAAAGTTTGAGAAGCCCTTCAGCCGTCACTTGATGCTGACACAATAAATCGGATATATCTTCAAGAGTTCTTGAGATTTTCACTTGAAATTTTGTAGAGACATTCTTTAATCAGTGTAGATTCGAATTATATCAACAAAAATTTTGACCCCGAGAATCGGGGGGTTGGTCCCCTTAAGGCATATTGTGTAGAGAATAAAATGTTCAGCCTCTCCGAACTAAATGACGTGTTTACAAGGTTTTCAATATATTTCCAAGGTCCATTAATTTATATACATATATTTTTTTACAAAATGTAATAAACATTTTCAAACATGATCAATTTCTTTAATTTTTTTGATATCAATAGGCAATGGAATTTTTTTATTTTTTACATTTCTTTTAAGTATACTTACCTCAACTCTTTTTGAAAATACCTGAATTCCATAGGTGATTTTCATTCTTTGACTTCCCCAATCTAAAACAAAACTGCAAGAATTTGGATCTGAATTTGGTAAAACCCCTTGGACAGAAGTGCATTATACCCCGTTGTAATTACTTTGATGGCATCAAAATATTCTTGAAGAAATTCATCCTTTCTTAGAAAATAAAAGAAAAGTGGAAATATTTTTTTTGCAAGCAGACTGAGAAAGTCTGAAAAAATTGACATATGTATATTTATTTTCAATATTCAATATTAGAAACATTATAAAAATATATAATTATGCCGGTTTTGCTCTAATGAGCATTTCGGCGTATTTAAATGAATAATATTCAGTATTTTTCCAATGATACCATTGCATGCCCTGCCATGCTGCTACCTTCTCATTTTCATATTTTCCAAATAAATGACTGCAACGAAAAATTACGAAAATAAATTGTAAAACAAAACAAAAAATAATATGTAATCGAAAATGATTGTTATACCTCTTGAAACAACTATCAAACCACCATGCCCCTTTCCAAGACTTGGCACAATTACCACTATTATCATTATCCTCATCGAAGGTAGAAAACTTCATACCTTTGTGAGGTGCCAAGGAATCACCAGCAGTGCCATTGTATTTTCCTAGTTCCTTGAGTCGATATTTCTCGGCTGCATTTCCAATTTGGAAGCCATCATAGAGGGCATAACGTTCCTCACCTTGCCAATCTCTTAAAATCACTTTAAGTTCGATTTTTGGAACGGCTGTCGTCAATTCATGCAATCTTTCTAGGCCAATAAAGAATTCGCCGTGAGGTGGATTACCGAAACCAACTTTATATTCATTCCAACCACGGTAAAAATCGACAGAGCCGTCCATGCGTCTGGCAATTGTTGTCCAATTTCGCAAAGTCTCAATGTTTTCTCTAGAAAAAATATTGAAAACAAAACGTTAGTAGGCAACTCCGATATGATGCAGACTCTTGACAGCAAATGATAATTGAAAATGTGATCGGAGAACCGATTTAAATCAATCCATTCGCATGTCATTCGTCAATCTATGTCAGTTTGATTTAACATCTATATGAATCGGACAAAATTATGTGAATCTGGACGGATTTGAGGAAAACTTGACACACACACTATTCGATATGCTGCATTTCAAAGGCACGTAAATCCCCATGAACATGCAGAACAGCATCAAGTCTTAATACAAATACAGAAAAACCACAACATTTCTGAAAACCACAATGTCCTCAGCGAACAAATGTATAAAAGAGGTTGTCAGAAAAGGCTTCAACGTACAAAACACTCAATTATAGTAACTTCTGTACATTGTACAAACTTGTGTGCCGGTGGGCGAAACTTTGTGTGCACCAATTTACATTAAATTGGACGAAAATATATATGGGAGCTATATCTAAATCGGAACCGATTTTCACGAATCTTAGCAAATATCATTCTGGACCTAATTCAGTACCCAGTGCCAAATTTCTTGCAAATCGAAAGATATATAGGGACTTTGGCGTCAGTTGGACCAAAGGGAAATCGATACTAATAAAAGAGTGAAGAGTGAAGAAGTGATTGACTTACTGACAGACTTAACGATTCACCAGCGCCCAGACGAAACTTCTGAAGCTAGAATCTTGAAATTTTGGGTGAGAGTCACTCTTGGTCCAAATGTGACAGGTAAGGCTGGGTTTTTGGAAATTCGTACTAGAACTATACGAAAAGTACTAAATAGTACAAAATGTGATACCATTTGTATTTGGCGAACCGGTAGAGCTAGAACTCTGAAATTTCGATTGGTGGTCGTACGTGGAGTGTAGGATAGATGTACCAAAGGGTGATTGGAAATTCGAACTATTACTATCCGAAAAGTACGAAAATATACTAAATTAGATACAATTTCGTAGCATGTGAAGGGATTGAGCTCAAAACATGAAGTTTTGAATGCGAATTAAAGTTGAGAAGTAGGATCGATTTAAAGGGGTGGTTTTGAAATAGTGTACTCATATATAAGAAAAGTACTATATGGGACCATAATTGGTACAATTTTTAGTTGGTGGTACAAATGGAGCTGGAATCCTGGAATTTAAAATTAAAATTACCGTCGGAATGTAGCATTGGGATATGAACGTAGTTTTGAAAATTTGTTTCTTATTTGTACGAAAAGTACTAAATCGTACTATAATCGGTGCAGTTTGGATTTGGGTGATCATATGGAGCGGGAACAATGAAATTTGGAGTCAGGATCACTGTAGGGGTGTGGGATTGGGGTGAGGATTCAGTATAAGAAAATAATACTTATGGGTACTAAATGGTACTAAATTTGGTACAATTTGAATTTTAGGTGAACCAATAGAGCTAGAATCATGAAATTTGAAGTCAGGATCACTGTTGAGGTGTAAGATTGAGATATGTAGGAAGTTTTAAAAATGTTTACTACTGTGTACTAAATTTGGTACAATTTGAATTGTGAGTGAACCGAAAGAGTTGGAATCCCGAAACTTGGATTTGGGATCACTGTGGGGGTGTAGGGTTGGGGTATGTAGGAAGTTTTAGAAATTTGTACTAAGTGTATTAAATTTGGTACAGTTGAAATTGTGGGTGAAGCGATAGAGTTGGATTACTGAAATTTTGATTTATGAACACTGTAGAAGTGCAGGATTGGGGTATGTAGGAAGATTTGGAAATTTGTACTACTATTTAGTACAGTTTGAATTGTGGGTTAACCGATAGAGTTGGAATCCTAAAACTTGAATTTAGTATCAGTGTGGGGGTGTAGGATCAGGGTATGCAGGAAGTTTAGTTAGATGGTTGATGGGGGTACTTATAGAAATAATGTGTGCTAAATGGAAAAATGGGATTTGGATGAACCTTTAGAGCTCGAATCATTAAATTTGGTACTAAATGGTACTCAAATTTAATTTACGATATAATATGTTAATAAATTTTTAAATATTTCCTACATTTGCTAACGAAGTTGCGGGCATATGCTAGTTTCTGAATATTTCCCCTTTAACTACCTTTTGGAAAAGCGAGATCCTTTGGCAATCTTCCAGAGCCAAGTTCTAGTCAAAATAATCATTTCTTTGCCATTCGTAATAGATAGCATCAAATACTACGTGCGGACAGACGGACGAACATACGTAAATCTACTCAAAAACTATTCTCTGTATATATCCTCAAAGGTAACCATGGCTCCTAGTCGTTACCTTTTGCCTGTTACAAAAATAGGTGCATAGACATAATACCCAGTTCCGCTCAGCGTGGTGAAATGTATGCGAATAGAATCGGTAAAAATGAATGAAATTAAACTTGGATGTATCCAAAGATGAGTATAACAATACGAGTATCTACGCGACATACAGGATTTACATGGGTCGGCATAGCCGATTGATTCCTGCTTGATTTGTTGTAAATTGTTTCATACATACATGTGGTCTCTGTTAACCCAGGACATGTACTCCACTAATGGTTTTATATCCTTTTCGTGATCCTGTTGCCTGCGAAATAAAAAAAGGAATTTAATGGACGTTGAAAATTGAGTTAGTTCCCTCTTGAGAAATCGTTTAGTTTGATGTATCTCCCATATCGCATATATCACGTACCTTTGGGTTAAATCATCAAGTCTGAAATAAAATAAAAAAGAGAGAAAACTCATTTATTCAAGAATTTTTGGTGGTGATAAATTTCGTATCAATCGGACCAATACTAAGAATTTGGTGCATCATTTATCTAAAATCCGACAAAAGCTCTTTCTAAATCTGAACCGATTTCATCGAAACGTGCCACAGATTAATTTATATTATCTTCAGTACATTGTGCAAATTGTGTGCCAGTCGGACAAACTATGGGTCTTTAGTGTCCAGTTTACTTAGAATTGGACGAAAATATATATGTGACCTATATCTAAACCGATTTTTCCCAATTTCAATAGGGCTCATCATTGGGCCAAATAAGTGAGTTGTGCCAAATTTCATCTAAATCGAATTAGAAATGCGACCTGTATTCAGTTTACAATTTAACATGCAAAGACGGACGCACATGCATAAATCGAATCAGAAACTGATTATATGCATATTCTCAAAAGAAACCATGGGTCTATACCGTTTCATTTTACCTGTTACAAACATATGCGTAAAGACATAATACCATGTACCACAGTGTGGCGAAGGGTATAAAAATAGTTGGTCATGTTGGGCACCATTTGTATAAATCAGCATTTTAAGGATTTGTATTTCTCTGCAGCAAAGATATTTTCATGTCTCTAATAGCTTAAAATATTTGATGTTGGTTCTACAGGCGTGATATTATTTTTTGTTTTGCGTCATCAATGACAAATAGCATGTTGGGCGCCATTTGTGTAAATAAATTTTCTCTAGAGCACAGTTATGCCAGTTTTCCAGGTGAGATATATAATTTGTTGCCATGCCCTGCAAAGTCTCCGATCGTAAGTGGCATACAACCGTTTCAGAATATATCCGCTTTAACTCACTCTTGGAAAAGGTAGAAATTTTGGCTATCTTCCAGAGTCAAGTTCTAATCAAAATTTATTTACCATAAGTACCACAAGGAATCCCAGAAAAAGTGTCTAACTAAGATCGGATGCAAGTCAGAGTCTTAGTTAGCAACACCACTATTTTGCCAACACTATTCGAATTTTTATAATCGAAGAAGACTATCTAGCTTCTGGTTATTTGTAATTAGCTCGAAATATTCACCTGAGACCCCCTTAGGTATATATATATATATATATATATATCCACTTCCTGCAAAAAATGATTAAATCGGCGGACAATGCCATACATTCCCCACTAATAAATAGTTGCTTTTCTATAAAAACAACAAACTTGGATTCAGCCTGACTATTTTGCAAAAACAAAAATTAAATGCCACTTCATTTTCTGATACTGCTTCCAGATAAGGCTACCGAACACTTTTCAATATTTTGAAGTCTTTGGCTGCATTTTAGCATCGCTTTGGCTGTAATATTGTATAAATGGTTCTTCAAGCCTGAATAGTAAAATAGTCATACACCTATTGCCCCTAAACCCTTAAAGTATATTGGTCTCTTAAAATAGTTTCATACATACCTCTCCATCAAGGTGACATTCATCGATGACATTTGTTGCCCCACTATTTTTGCCACGTTCCCTTCCAATTCCCCTTGCCTGGAAATAAAACAAATGTGATTAATCGTCAACATATTCGAATAAAATTTTGATATTGAATATTCTATCCCGATCGAGGTTCTAATGCAAACTGATGGGTGGTGACATTGCGAACATTACATGTTGACTTCGTGGCAGGCTTATCAGAAACAAATATTCCACAAAAATAAAAACAACGCAAATTTTTTTTGTGTCCCCTCCACCATAGAACGGAGGCTTTCATTTCAATAATCAGACCTGCCAGAATACTGGGTGTCTTCTCATGTCACCACCAGGCCATCTTCATGATGAGACGACATACATTTAATCTGATCATGGATATATATATATATATAATCTATTTGGATCTCCGAGCAATATTTCGAGGTGATGCAATCGGAGTGACACATTTAATATACACTGGTCTCTGTAAACACTTTTATACATACCTCTCCATCAAGGTGACATTCATCGATGACATTTGCTCCACTATTTTTGCCACATTCCCTTCCAGTTCCTCTTGCCTGGAAATAAAACAAATGTGATTAATCGGCTACACATTCGAATAAAATTTTGATATTGAATATTGTATCCCGATCGAGGTTCTAATGCAATATGATGGGTGGTGACATTGCGAACATTACATGTTGACTTCATGGCAGGCTTTTCAGAAACAAATATTCCACAAAAATAAAAACAACGCAAATGTTTTTTTGTGTCCCCTCCACCAGAACCTGCTAGAATACTGGGTGTCTTCTCATGTCACCAGCGGGCCATCTTCATGATGAGACGACATACAGTTAATCTGATCATGGATGCATATAATCTATTTGGATCTCCGATCAATATTTCGAGATGATGCAAACGGAGTGACACATTTAATATACACTGGTCTCTGTAAATACTTTTATACATACCTCTCCATCAAGGTGACATTCATCGATGATATTTGCTCCACTATTTTTGCCACGTTCCCTTCCAGTTCCTCTTGTCTGTAAATAAGACAAATGTGATTAATCGTCAACATATTCGAATAAAATTTCGATATTGAATACTCAAGTCATTTTAAGGATTGGATATTTTGGTTTCTTTATAGTTGGAATTTTTTGAGGATAGGATGGGTGGATGTGGTTCGATTTTTGGAACACCCTTAGTGTCCTAAGAAAGTTTATCGTGGGGTAGAGTATCTTACCTTTTGGTCAAATTATCAATTCTGAAATAAAATAGGGGATTAAAATCAAGATCATTTAAAATTTAATTCACTTAATTTTCAGTTCCAAATACTAACTTCTGAGTCACATCCAACAGATTGGTGTTTAGTTTATTCATTTCGCTGTGCATTTCCTTCGTTTCGTTGTACATTTCCTTCGTTTCTCTGTTCATGTTCTTCGTCTCCACCAATAGATCATTCACCTTTAGAAATAAATTCTTCCACAGAAACAGTTGATATTCGTCTTCGTAGGGATTCTAAAATGTTGATTGTAAATTGTATTGAAATATTTCTAATTCTAGATTCTGGAATTATAATTACATAATATTCTTCAGTGGTAGTGGTGTCGTCGTCGGAGATGATAGTGGTGTTTTCGTGGATGGCTGTGTCGTCATTGGTGGCCGTTGTGGTGTCGTTCTTGATGAGGATACTCATGTCGCCGGATATGGTAGTGGTAGTGGTGTCTTCCACAACTATGGTACTGACGGTGGAGGCAACGACATTGTCGTCTGCCTTATTTCCCATTATTATTTGTAATATTATTACTACGAATAAAAGAATAACTTTGATTTTCATTTTGATTAATCTATTCCGATCGAGGTTCTAATGCAAACTGATGAGTGGCGACATTGCGAACATTACATGTTGACTTCGAGGCAGGCTTATCAGAAACAAATATTCCGCAAAAATAAAAACAACGCAAATTTGTTTTGTGTCCCCTCCACCATAGAACGGTGGCTTTCGTTTCTCCCTTTGCAACACCGGGAAATATTCACCGTAAACCCCAACAAGGCGTGTTGTTTTTTAAAATGCTTTCAAAGCTCCAACAAAGGTGTATTTTTTTAAAACAATTTTTGAGCACTCAAAAAATGGCATTGATTTAAAAAAAAAAAAAAATATTTTTTCTTCAAAGCTCCCATGAAGATTCGGATATTTTTAAAAATATTTTTCATAATGCCCTTGCAATGGCGTGCATATTTTAAAAATATTTTTTAATGGCCCACAAAAAAAATTAAAGATTTCTAGTCTCCAACAAATGCGTGCTTTTTTAAATAGTTTTTTCTATGTCCCAACATAGGCGTGATTTTTTTTTAAAATAATATTTGAAGGCTTCCACAAAGGCTTGGATTTTTTTAAAAATTATTTTTCAAGGCTTCAAAAAAATTTTCTATGCTTGGAATTTTAATGTTTTTTTAAGGCTCCAAATAATGCTTCGATTTTTAAGAAATATTTTTTTTCATGGCTCCAACGATGGTGCGGATTTTTTAAAATAGGTTTCAATGTTTCCAAAAGGGGTATATTTTTTAAAAATATGTTTTCAAGGCTCCATCAAATGCGGGGATTATTTCAAAAAATATATTTTAAGGCTCCCACAAGGTATGGATTTTTTTTTTCAAATATTTTTTAATGCGTTTCCAAAGGCGAGAATTTTTTAAAAATATTTTTCAAGACTAGATTCGAGCCGAGAATTTTTTTTAAGCCCAATAAAATTTATTATTGTCGCATAGTGGTGGGAATGTAGTATCTCTCCGGCTTTCCTTTTCATTGCAACTCCGATCATGTAGCTCATCTCCAAAGAGAAATTAATAAAAAAACATTTACATGAATGATCCTTCGCCCTAAAAAGGCATAAAAACAAAAATCCAAAAAATTCAGCTTGAGCCCGGTTGGGATTTGAACCCTGGTTCCCATGGCATCTGTTGATGTCCAGCGCCTTAGCATTCAAAGCCACCTCCTTATCTTCCTAAGGTTCCACAATATGCAGTTGCATACCATTGAAGAAAAATATTGTAGTCTGTATGAAAAAAAAGTCCGTCACTACAAGAAAAATCAGCTCTGTAAAGGAATGTTCTGGTGTGATGCCAAATGTCCGAACCTTGACACGGTTGAATTTAATTCGTAGATGCAATTTCGTAACAATAGTCGACATAAATACACCTTATCAAGTAAAGACATTTGTAAGCCACATTGCCCAATATGCCTGACGAGCCGCTTAACCAACGGCGAAACGCGTCGCATTGTGGTGGGAATGTAGTATCTCTCTGGCTTTCCTTTTCATTGCAACTCCGATCATGTAGCTCATCTCGAAAGAGAAATTAATAAAAAAAAGAAATTTGTCGATGTTTTAAATTTTTTTTTCAAAGCTCCAATAAAGGCTTGGATTTTTAATGTTTTTTTTTTCAAGGCCCCACAAAATGCTTCGATTTAAAAAAAAATATATTTTTTCACGGCTCCAACGATGGTGTGGATTTTTTTTAATAGCTTTCAATGTTCCAAAAAGGGGTATATTTTCTAAAAATATGTTTTCGAGGCTCCATCAATGGCGGGGATTATTTTAAAAAATATATTTTAAGGCTCCCGGAAGGTATGGATTTTTTTTTTCAAATATTTTGTAATGCGCTTCGAAAGGGGAGAATTTTTTAAAAATATTTTTCAAGACTAGATTCGAGTCGAGAATTTTTTTAAGCCCAATAAAATTTAGTATTGTTATCATCTCTCTTTTTTAATAATCCATTACCTTTAATGTTGTTGTTGTAAGAAATTATATTGAAAAAAAAATATCAAAAAAATATCAGATCAATTTTGGATTTTAAAGCAATAAGTTAAAAACATTTTAAAATAAATAAAAAAAATTTTTTGTTAAATAAAAATTAAAGAAATTACGTTTCAATTTACTTTACTGACACAGTCTATAACGTGAACCCACTTAATGTTACGATGTGTTTTCAAAAAAAAAAAAAAAAAATTGCAAATTTGCATTTTAATAAACGAAAGTTTACAACAATGAATGAAATTGATAAGAACTAATAATATGCAGTGAAATAATCGAAATTATCGCTGACATGATTATATAAATTCAATTCAACAAATAGACAATTGACTGCATTTATAAAACGGCCATATATTATAAAACCAAATTCAATAAAAAGACATTTGAACATTCGAGGTCATTCGAATATTCCAATAATTGATTACAACTTAAACAGAATATCATACATTATTACCATCGAAAATTAAAAACCAACAACAATGAACGAAGTTACGATTTATTCAAAACGGTATTATATACAAAAACAAGTAAAAATAATGTCAGTCGGTGTTGCCATCAGATATATACCCTCAGCCTAGGGTTTGGGGTGGTCGGAATTGCACACAGGTTTTATTATTCTCTGTTTTTTTTTTGCAAGGTATGTTTTTATCAAAGAGTTTTCAGATTTAATATTGATCAAATCGGTTATTCGATTTGCTACAATTTAATAAAATTTACAATTTAAAAAAAAAACTGACCCTTACTAGAGCGGAATTTGATCTAGGCTTTGTAATGATAATGGATGATGCAAAGTTTTGTTCAACACATCACCCATTCCATTCGCCTGATAATGGAAGAAGAGGCTGTCCATGTCTTAAAAAATTGGGGCCAAAATCCCCGTTGGAGTGAGACGAACGCGGCATTGCTTAACAACATTGGAATCCACGAGTCATATCATCACCTGTATCAGCAGGCTTTTGAAGCCGAAAAAAAACGTTTGTATTACTAATTACTATAAAACTATAAGAGAAGTATTATTTTAAACTGAACAAAAACCAGTGAGGAAAGTTGTAAAATCGGACGGGAGCGACTATATGCTACCCTTCAACACTTTGAATATATTCGTCATATGTATCCTAACAGACGTCTCCTTTTCGAAGGAACATTGACATATGACAAGTGGAACGAACATAAATATGTGATCTCTTCATATACGTGAACCGACTAACATCAACCTATGCTAAATATTGGAAATCGATTTATAGCAAACTTGACACAAGCTATGTGGTATGCTGCACCGTTCGAAATTTAATCTCCACCAGACAGCCGTTGATTATTTGATAGGTCGAAAATATATATGGAAGCTATGTTTGAATCTGCAACAAATTTCAACAAAACGCAATAAAGCCATCCTAGTCTCAATTTGATACGTTGTGCAAAAGATCGTGTCAATCGGACAAGCGTTAGGAGTTTGATACACTATTTATAGAAAATCGGACGAAAATATATTTGGGAGCTATATCTGCATATGAACCGATTTTTATGAAACTTAGCACACATCATTATAGACTTAATTCAGTGCGCTATGCCAAATTTCATGCAAATCGAAAGATAAATAGGGAATTTTGGGCGCCATTTACATTAAATCGGACGAAAATATATATGGGAGCTATATCGAAATCTTAACCGATTTTCACGAAACTTGGCACACATCATTCTAGACTCAATTCAGTGCGCTATGCCAAATTTCATGTAAATCAAAAGATAAATTGGGACTTTTGGGCGCCATTTACATTAAATCGGATGAAAATATATATGGGAGCTATATCGAAATCTTAACCGATTTTCACGAAACTTGGCAGACATCATTATAGACTCAATTCAGTGCGCTATGCCAAATATCGAGCAAATCGAAGGTACAGCATTTACATTAAACTGGATGAAAATATATATGGGAGCTATATCTAAATATGAACCGATTTTTATGAATCAACATTCTAGACTTAATTCAGATCGCAGTGCCAAATTTCGTGCAAATCAAAAGATAAATAGGTACTTTTGGACACCATTTACATTAAATCGGATGAAAAAAAAATTTTGATTCCTGTGTGTGCAAAAGTGTTCGAATTGAGATGTTTTTCATTTTAATTATACCCAACCCAAATTCTCCCAGGGGTTTCTTATATCGCATATTCAGATTTAGCAAAAGGTGTTGTTTTTTTTTAAAGGCACAAGAGACATTCGGGTATGAAAGGCTTTTTGTAAAGAAGCAATAAATAGCTTTTGGGGAGAATATCCCAACAAAAAACTAATGAGGATCAGTGGCGTGATTCGAAACTATAGTCTTCCCTGCCTTAACCCCTCGGCGGACAATCCATTCCCCACTAATAAATAGTTGGTTTTTTATATAAAAACAACAAACTGGTATTCAGTCTGACTATTTTGCAAAAAAACATAATTCGGCATCATATTTTCAAATAAAGGAGGGTGCGGAAGAGGCCACCACCAAGTCCCAAAATTACCTCTGTCGCAGCCTCTTACAAATTGGAAAGATGCTCTTGAATGCTTCACCGACCACGAAACAAAAAAAGGAATACCACAAAGATGCGGTGATAAGGATTCGGGACTTTATATCGAGAATGAACGAAAGATGTTTCATAACGTATAGAACTTGTTACGGACAAACAAACTTCAGATATATTGAAAGAACAAACGCACACAATTAAAGTTGCCATTGAGAGAATTTTATTGTGTGAAAGGGAGAACATCGGCCTTGAAGAAACGTAAAGTCTCCTGAATACTGTCGTTAGATATAAACTTAGAAAACGTTTGGAGGGTACATCCAACAAATTCAACATACCTGAGTCCCAGAATACAGAACAAGTTAATAGAACTAAGTGGAGAATACATCCAGAAGTAGATTGTTGAAGAAGTGAAAGTGTTCGGTTTTAGCGGATGAAACTATAAATGTATACGATTTTTGACAAGGTATCTC